GCATAATTGAGTCAAATCGCATGCAGCATCTCTGAAGGAAACCACTAAAAAAAGCAACGTTCTGGTCCCTGTGTGCTGTGTCTGGGTTTCTAGTGCTCAGACGTCTTTTACAAAGAAGGGGGAGGGAAAAAAAGAGCTTCCAAAATAACATCAATGTCAGCAACCTGCCCATTCTCACAATGAGAGAGACTTTGAGCACGTATATGCGTATCTTCCTTCTGCCCATGATAGTACGCTGCCCGCAACTTTACACACTGCTCTGCTAATAGTGATGACATGAGCATAAAAACTGCAGTCGAGGCGGGGAAGGCAGTGTTTTATCATTCACACTGACTTTTTCTGGTAGTCTGCTGAAATTAAGTTGGTCTTGAAAGTGTGATTCTTAACAAGAAATTCGATGCTAATCAGCCTGCTGCAGCTACGCCTTCCCTTTGGGGCTATGTGGGTCACAGGTGCTGGCAGGGTCACTGAAGCAAAGACACTGATATTCAGTTTGTACCACTGAAAGTGACTTCAAAATTAATGTTCAGGTGTTGTTGACAGAACTTGTCAGTGACTCACAGCAGACTTTTCAGGTACGGTGTTTTAATAGCAACCTGCAAAACCAATGTAAGTGTTGTATGTTTGCTTGCAAGGGATGCAGTTAGAAATATTCTGACTTCTGAGTTGAATTAAATTTAATGGAGCATTTCTGAATTGGATTGACTAACTTCTCTGCCCAAGACCAAAAAAGCTCCAGAATGCAGCGTGTCTGTCATGACCATCTGCAGCGATGTCTACCCTTCATGATTTTAAAAGCCACTTAGAGAGGCATGTCGATTCAACAGAGATTAATGTTGTGTTTATCGTGTCTGAATCCCGTTTGGCTGTAGTTGTACAGGGCAGTAACATCATGAGCACTGCAGGCAGAGGAACAGATAATGAGTCACCCTACACAATCCTCATTTTACCTCTCCGATGCCAACATGAAGACAAGTCAGTCCTTGTAAGTCTCCAAGACTGAGACCTGTACAGAGCCTGTTCCTCAGGACTTAAGGATCGATAACTCTTATTCCATGTGCTTCCGAAGTCCAACACTATGGTTCAGAAAGGTCTGAATAACTGATACGTGTACTCTTGCTTAATTTAAAGTTTACAAATTACTGAAGTTTTTCTTTTGACATTTGTGGCCTTGACAGGGTTTAGCTTAGCCCAGCTCAAAGATGGTTTTGTGCGTAAATTTATTTGGGGCTGAGAGAAGTAATACATCTACCTACTAGACTTTCCGCTGTCCGCCTGCCTGATTTGGGCTATGTACATAATATAGTGGCAGTCTCTGTGTTTTATTCTTTTTTTTTCCTTTTTTTTTTTAACAGCACTGGAGGATGGCCTGCTACTGCCAGCTTTCACTCAGTATCTCAGTGTTTAAACTGCTTGTGTCAGGTTGTTGCTTGCTCTGAGGGTATTCAAATGCACGTTGCTGACCTTTCTGAACAACGGCTTGGAGCTGTGCAGAGAATTTCCTTTGCTGTTCTTTATGCTTTTAATGGCTTTTAGGTTGCTGCTTGGCCTGGTGAGCGTCAGCTGCTTTGGTGGTACAGCTTTGTAACAGCATGAGATGCCCCTCCTGAAACAGCCATAGCCCAGTGGTGTGGCATCCCTCTGGAGGATGCTGGAAATGTTGGTGTGAATCCTTTAGGGTATATTTTGAACTTGTCTCCCATCTCCTGCGAGCTGTTGTGGAAGCTAAAGATCCATCCCATTAGCATATTTCAAAAGGAGAGCAATCCACACAGGTGCCAGCAGCAGTGGCCGGGTATCTTCTAAGGGACATTTTCTGACAAGAATTCAGAGGGAAGGGGGATGCCTCTGCAATTCTAGTTTAAATTGCCTGAGTCCTAAGAAGAGGTGGGATTTAAAACACTCCTACCAGTGCCCTGTTAGGCTGCTTGGATGTCTTTTCGCTGGTGGGTTTCTTTTTTCTACTTTTTTTCCATGGTGCTTGACTTCCCCATGTCACTTCATAGGGGCTTGGCATAGGGTGCTGGGTTACCACGTGCACAGCGGGTGTTGTGAGGCTCAGAGTCGCAATGTGTATTTCTCCTTTTAGATCCGGTCCCTAGAAACTCTTACAGTGCTCCCCTCTTCAGTGATGGATGGGATTTCTAGAGTAACTCCTGGGAGGGGGTTTACACGTGTTGGATCGCAGCAAATGGCAGAAGGGATAGTGGTGTTGTAAATGATTCTCCGGGTGTGCTCATTCACTCCAGAGTGCTATAAACAAGAGACAAAAGAGACTTAAAATATTGAGGTTTCAGACTTGCCAGTTGTTCCTGTGCCCAGTATGACACTTGTGCACAAGCCTAGTGCTCAGAAAGTTGGCAAAACTCTCCTGGCAAGGAGGTGCTTCGGTCTGTGAGAGCTTTCCAGGACTTTTCCTGGCAGAGGAGTATCCTGGAGAGGAAACTAGCTAGCGAGCAGGCCTGGCAAAGCAGGGAGCTTGCAAAACAGAGGCAAAAAATCTCAGAACTCTGTGTGCTCTGTGGGTTATTTGGTGGGGATGATCGGCAAGGGTGGCATGTTGTCTGAAAAATTAGAAACCACTGTGGTGGCCGGACAAGTTGATGTGCTGGACTGTTGCAGTAGCACAGGGTGTCTACTTCATGGTGCTGAAAATTTGTTCTGTTTTACACCAAAAATAACCAAGCTGCCACTGCTTCTGTCTGTCACACAGCTGTTACCCAGACCTGCTCACATTAGCTGGCACGAGCTAACAAAAGTCAGGACAAGGGGTAATGGCTTTAAATTGAAAGAGGGTAGGTTTAAATTAGATCTAAGGAAGAAATTTTTCACTGGGGGGGTGAGGCACTGGAACAGGTTGCCCAGAGACGTTGTGGATGCCCCATCCCTGGAAGTGTTCAAGGCCAGGTTGGATGGGGCTTTGAGCAGCCTGGTCTGGTGGAAGGTGTGCCTGCCCATGGCAGGGGGGCTGGAACTAGGTGATCTTTAAGGTCCCTTCCAACCCAAACCATTCTGTGACTGAAAGGATCTAGATTAATTTGGTTGAGTCCCCATCTCTAGAGGTATTTAAAAGACATGTAGATGTGGTGCTTAGGGACATGGTTTAGTGGTGGACTTGGTAGTGTTAGGTTAACGGTTGGACTTGATGATTAATTAAAGGTCTTTTCCAACCTAAATCATAGAATCAGAGAATCGTAGAATGTTTTGGGTTGGAAGGGACCCCTAGAGGTCATCTAGTCCAACCCCACTGCACTGAGCAGGGACACCGCTAACTAGATCAGGTTGCTCAGAGCC